TTTTATTACTTATTTTTTCAATTGCTTTCATACTTATAATATATTTATTTATTTTCTTGATTATTTACCAATTGCTGTATTTATTTATTTTCTTGATTACATAATTGAATTCATTCATTTTTTTAGTTTAATTTGTATTAAAAGGTCTCAAAATTTCTGATACTTAGCTCCAAAATTAAGAAAAACCCGGAAATGACCTTTTTTTCTTTTTTATCTTGCTGGTAATAAGGTTTCGTGTCTAGCATTTACAGGCAATTTTAGACTGCGTTTATTGCACGTAGACATCGAGGGATGTTCAAGCACATCCATGCTTCAGGCTTTTCAAATTTCCAGGGATTAAGTCGAGTAGGATCTGCTTCAGAAGATTTATTGCTCAGTTTCCCGTAAATTTGATGCCTCAATCGGGATTCGACCCCGGGATCCAATGACACTAATTCAGACGCGCTGACCATCAGGCCAACTTGGCTGGCGAATCTTGCGTGAGATCTATCTATACAGTTATGCAGTTCAGTCATTGCGCATATTTTTAAAATCCACTTCCCCGCCCGGCCTGAACTCGGCGGCAACCTATTTGACGTCACACTGGCTGCTCCCATAAGGAATACATTGCAGGCAGCCAGTGATACGTCATCGCGCAGGAGAGTTCCGAAACTCGTCGTCGGGAAACAGCAGCTACCAAGGCGGATAAAGAATGGTGGTCGCATTTCGATTTTGGCTGCCATCTTGAAGCGTTGTGACGTCAGGAGGGTACGGGTTTTGCCGTGCAATCCGAGGTTGAGTCGCCCCCCCCCCGGCCTCGGCCAGCCCATGTACCCGATGTACCCGATACCGTGTGACGTCCAGAGGGTACGAAATGCGACCACCATTCTTTATCCGCCTTGAGCAGCTACCTCGTGCAATGTGAAGTACATACTCCAGTTCCAGTGTTTTATAATTTATAATTGAAGTGATTGATCGTAGTTTGACTTTTGCGGCTTCTTGGTTTTAAGGTGAAGCATTTTCCAGCTGTGTATTTATTTATTTATTCACTTTTCCGTCTCTGAGATTTGATATTTCCATCAACACATCCATCCTAACCTTCACTTACCTATCATGAGTTCATGACCTGTTGAGCCTGTAGGTCTAGCTTTCCCACCTTGAGCTTCCCCTCTTCCGTATTGAACATGTACCAACACCTGTTAGATTCGCATATGTTTCTCTATCAAGCAAGCATTGCAATCATGCTGGATTTTTAGTGTATTTCCACAGTTCGGGGTAAATGATTTGGATTATTCAACTATTTTTGAGGTTAGAATATTTTGTGGCATGCTGTAGGTACTGTAAGGAATTATTCTTGTCAGAATTACTATTGTTGTCTGGATTTATTCTTTGCTGAAGATGAGTGGACCGAGTCGGCACCATCGAAAAAAATATTGTTATGCTAGTAGATCTACCAAGTTTAGGAGGGTAATTGAAGCCGAGAGGAGAGGGGAAGGAGTGCAGTCCTCTGATGAAGAGTCATCATCTTCGCCAGATTCGTGTTTACTTGGTAGTCAGGAAGATGAAAGTTCTGGTACACATGAAGTTCATGGCGCTTCAGTTGATGTCGAAAACTCTGTGACAGACCACTCTTCAGTCAGTGAAAATCTTAGTGAGTTTGACAATATCGATAATGGTAGTGAAAATGGTGATTCCCCTGGCTTTCATTCGCATTATGAATCATCTGATTCAGATGAGAGTTTTGTGAACATAGATTCTGATTTTGAGTTTGACGATTTCTCTGATCTTCATAGTGAGGAAGAAGATTTGTTCGAGGAAGATTATGATACACCCAATCTTACCCTATTAGACAATTTACGGATCTGGGGGGTCAAGTTTAAAGTTACCAAGTCTGCTACATCAGCCCTTCTTCGAATTTTGAAGACTACCAATCCAGCAGAACTTCATACGCTACCACTGGATGCCAGAACTCTAATGAAAACCCCACGTAAAGTGGATATCGTAAAATTAGAGAAAGCCGGTGGTGAGTTCTATTATTTTGGGTTATGGAAGGGCATTCAGAATGCTCTTGAGCGATCTAGGGAAAAAATTACAAATGTTTCAATGGTATTCGGCGTAAATGGTTTACCTTTGTTCAAAAGTAGTGGTATTCATTGTACCCCCATTCTAGGGAAAATAATCTCTGTTCCGGATATTCGACATCATGTCTTCCCAATCGCAATTCACTGCGGTGAAAATGATAAACCACAAGATGCGAAGGAGTTCCTGGATCCGTTTATTGACGAGGTGACTGATCTGATTAATAACGGCGTAAAATTCAAAGGCAATCTCTATAACTTTACTCTAAAAGGTTTCTCTTGTGATTGCCCCGCCAAATCATTTATTTTATGTTCTATTGCTAGCAATGGCAAGTATTCTTGCACCAAATGCATTCAAGAAGGTGTGTGGTCTCAGCTGTGCCAGAGGACTTACTATCCTCTAGTTGATGCCCCATTGAGAACGCATGCAGATTTCATTAACAAAACAGTGCCGCATTTTCACAATGGTGACTCGCCTCTTCTGAGAATCCCACAGATTAATTTCATTGATTCTTTTCCGCTTGACTATCTCCATCTAATATGCGTTGGTGTAGTGAAGACACTTGGAAAATTATGGGTGTTTAAATCCAAAAATAATGCCAAAATCTCTGACGAACTCATTTCTCAGGCATCTGGGCGAATGTTATTTTTTGGTAAATTTATACCCTCTGAATTCGTTCGCAGGTCTAGACCACTGGAAGATATTAAGCGGTGGAAAGCGACAGAGTTTCGTCTTTTTGGTTGCTACTTAGGCCCTTATGTGCTAGACGGTATTCTTAGTGAGCAGCGTCTTGGCAATTTTGTATTGTTGTATGTTGCCCTAAGACTTATGTTGCACCCAGCTCGGTGCAAAGATCATAAAGAAATTGCAACTGCCATTCTTGTTGAATTTGTAGAAAACTGTAAAATCGCGTATGCCGAAAATCTTCTGACCCACAATTTCCACAACTTGATACACTGGCCCCAGAATCTTGATTCTTTTGATGATATGGAGGATTGTAGCACCTTTGATTTTGAATCCTTCTTACAGTATATAAAACAACTTGTCGTTAAAGGTGATGAACCATTGCCACAGGTTGTGAAACGTATCTCGGAAGCAGACGCGTGTCCACCATCACTGCCCACAAAAAGTACAAATTTCCCAAGGTGCTCAATGCCGTACCGTTGTCGTGGGCGTTTACTGTTAGAAGGATGTGTTAGACCCACTTATCAAACTGTGCATTTCCCTTCCTTTAAGCTCTCTATCTTTGCCAGGGATAGCTGTTTCACAACTTTAGATGGCAGTGTCTTCGTTTTGCGGAATATTTGCACTGCTTCTGAATCAAATGATATTCTGCTTGTTGGGCGGAAGTTCTTGCAGAAAAAAGACGTTTTTGTCAGTCCTTGCCCAAGTTCAGATTTGAAGATTTTTTCAGTGTCCAACCTATCGGAAATGATGATTGTTCCAGTAGGTGATGTTCAGTACAAGAACATGCTGTTGCCATTCAAATCAGAATTTGTGGTTCAGCGTCTCTTACACACCTCATAATAATTTTTTTACCTCCAGTTCTTGGTACACGATCAAATATTCTTAAAAGTATGGACAAAATGATGAGCCTTCTGTCGCTCAACATTTAGATGTACCAACAAAATTGGTGGCCCCTCTCAATTTTGAAAGTAGATGGTGTGCTCAGAGATCATTCATGACTTCCGATTTCATAGAGCAATCTAGATTTCTAAATATTTGTATTGAAAAACTGGGAGTTTCGCATAATTTTGTACTTATTTAGTTTGAACTTTGGATTTTGTATCACGAACTTGAAGGAAAAAGGGATGAAACTTCATTAGCTGGCAGTGCTTTGGTTACTTTGGCGTGAAGTGTGAAGCTGTGTGAATCCAGTAAGGTTCATTTAAGGTTCTCCCTCCCTCACTCACCTTTTCCTTTTCAAATTCCTTTTTCCATCAGATACTTCTAATTTTTGCATCAATCAATCTTAGACTGGTTATACTCCGCCAAAGTAAGTAAAAGTGAATTATTACCTTTTGTTTTTTTGTCAGATGTGACTCAGTTTCCTTAGTGTTTGGGTCAAACTGCTCAATTTTTTTTCTGCTCTCTAAATTTTCTTTAAAGATTTTTGAAACCCACTTTGTTGGAACGTATGACCCTGTTCTTTTTCAAGGAACTCAAATTAAAAATTATTCATTCGCTACTTTCTTTTTATTTTGTTTCAGTGGAACTCACAACTGTTACAATGACCTGATTCTCTTGATAAAAACTATAGATTGTTGCTGAGAAAATTTTTCTTTTTCCAAATTTTACAATCGTTGATGCTTTGTAGTGTCAAAAATTTATACCCTTGCTATTATTTTCTGCTCTCATTTGATAACACTACCATGTTTTGAAGAAATTGCAATAGAGCTTCATCTATCAAGTTTTCTTGTACAGGTGAAATTAAGTGCATGTGTGCAAATGCTAATGAAGTTGAAAGTAGACTCAAACTGTATCTTGCCTAGGTTATAGTCCGATTCTTCACTGTATTTTCTGATTAATTATTGTAATTACTATAATTATGTTGTAACTAATTCCATTTCTATTCAACAGATTCAAAATGAAAACGTATTTGGTGGGGATTTTCCCCTTTGATGATACCGTTGACATAATTCGAGAATCGTGGCTGTGCGGATACAACGATGAACTGGAACAGCTGTGCCAATTTCCTGCAGTACATGGAGACAAAAAAAAACTAGAAGATTTGCTGAATACCTGCGAATTTCCTGATGATGCATGGCCAAAATATGTTATAGTTCCGAAGCGGACTGGTATCGGTAAGAAATACTGTTGCATTACTTTTACGTACTTGCTCATTAGCATCAGGTTCAGGAGGATTTGTGCTGTGTCTTATGAATTGAATGTCTCTTGTATCATTGGTTTATTTTCTGACGATATGGAAGATTTTCAATCAAGTAATTTTTCTTTAGTAAGAGACAAAGCATATTAAAAAAATTATGTCGCCGGACTCAGCGAATAAAAACAGTGCCCTATTGCTCTTCTTTGTTGACTGCCTGTAAAACAAATTTGAGTACTTAATACATTCTACCGTGTGAGCGGGTGGCATTTACAAAATATGTGGCTGTACAGCGAAGTGCTAACTGTGTTGTCTTAAATTTTTTTAAAAATTATGTATTTACGTATGTTATACTTATTTCTTTGTCTGATTGCAGAATCGTATCAAGAAGCGGTCCGTATTCAAAAAATTATACAGGAGGATGAAAATGGAGCAACCACGGACCAAGATAAACTTGGTAGAGGGTTTCGAAATCGGAAACGAAATACGTTCCTTGAGTCATCTGATGAAGATGTTCCAAAATGTAAGAAGAGTAAAAGCAACAAAAGCGAAGCTAGAAAGAAGCAAAAAGAAGCACAAAACAGCGCTCGGAGCCAGTGTGCGTCTGCTTTGAGCAATTTTACACTACCGAACTGCAAATCTTTTCGGATCCCTTCACCGTCTCAAATGGTACAAAGCAATACAAATGTCCAGAAAAATGGGATTCATAGTCAAAAAGGTGAAGGGTTTGCGCACTCTACCCAGAAAGGTCGTAAAGAAAATCACCATACTTTGAGAGAAATCAGTAATGTCTCTCAGATTCTCAAAAATACCAAAGAGAATCATCATGCTAAAAGACCAGTAAGCAATGCAAATGCCCAGAAAAAAGAGATTCAAAGTCAAAAAGGTAAAGGGTTTGCGCATTCTACGCAGAAAGGTCATAAAGAAAATCACCCTGCTGTGAGAGAAATAAGCAATGTCTCTCAGATTCTCAAAAGTACCAAAGAGAATCATCATGCTGAAAGACCAGTAACCAATGCAAATGCCCAGAAAAATGGGATTCAAAGTCAAAAAGGTGAAAGGTTTGCGCACTCTACCCAGAAAGATCATACAGAAAATCATCCTGCTCTGAGAGAAATAAACAATATTTCTCAGATTCGGAATGCAAAAGTCCAACCGAAAGATCAAGTCAAACACAATTTTTCTCATAGAAATCGGATTCAAGTCAACTGCAACACTACTCAAAACAATCGGAATCAAGTCAACTGCAACCTTGCTCAGAAGCATCAAAATCAAGTCAATCGCATCATTGCTCAGAACAATCAAAATCAAGCCAACCACAACACTGCTCAGAACAATCAAAATCAAGTTAATCGCGTCACTGCTCAGAACAATCAAAATCAAGTCCATCGCAACACTGGCCTGAATCAAGTCAACCGCAACATTTCTCTGAACAATCGGAATCAAGGCACCCGCAATATTTCTCAAAACAAGCAGATTCAAGCCAACCGCAACACTTCTCAAAACAATCAGAACTCAGCAGACCACGATGATGTTTCAACAAGGTTGCGCCATGTTGAAGGTAGGTAATGTTTTGACCTATTGGATTTTAAAAATGCACAGTTGAATACATAGTTGATTGATTGCAACGAAGTGAAATCATTCTTTGATCTCAGGTGCTATATATGAGTAGCCTACTTTCATGAACTTTCAAAAGTCTTTGAAACAACAATCCTTTTCCTTCATGATTTGTAATTTTATAAATGCTATCATTACTTACGTTCGGTTTGATGCAGGTAAACTCGAACTCATATTGGAAAAACTTAGCCTGACCAATGAACTTGCACAAAGATCCAACAAGAAAATGACCGGCATTAAATTAGCTGTTGACGGGAGTACAGAGATTTTAAAAGAAGTTCAAGCGAAAATGGCAGAAATGGCAGTTTCTAAAATTTGCACCGCAACAGATGAGATTGAAAAACGCTTTCCCATGAATTCCATTCAGGAGTTGGAACTGATGGATCATGACCTCTCTGACCCTGAGTTCAGAAAAAAATTTGTAAGTCTTCTAAGTTTTAACCTCGGACTCTTTATGACTCCTAATTCTCCTTGTCTCATTCTTTTGCTCACTTTATATGAATGAGGAAGGCTGTTTTTACATTTTACAGTCTGATTCTTTGAAAAATAACTCTAGAAAACTCACCAGCCTCATCAATATTTGAACATTTTTGGAAATTACTCTCGGTAACTGTTCAGAAAATAGGAAAAGTCAGGTTCCTTAGAGTTCTCTCTTCCCTCTAAATTTCCCCTAAATCTGATGTGCATTTTGTGAATCCAGGAATTTGAATACGTAATTCCGCCCTGAACTTCTGTCTTTGAACAGTCCTTAGGTCTTACTTCTACTTAAGGCTCTTCAAACCACAAATAAATAACAAAAATTTGAAATGATATGCTTTGATTATTGCATTATTTTCTCTGTTCTCTGCCTAGGTCTTGCACTTCAGCAGGAAGAATGCAGAATCTGTTGGGGATTCTGTGAGAAATATAGTTAAAATATTGATGACCGATGGACTTGCCTCAAAATTCTCATGGACTGGTCACAAAGCAGGAAAAGAAGCCTTGAACCAATATACCATGTTCATCACTGCTTTTCAAGGTAACCAATGATTTAAGTTTCTTTAGAGTGGTGGTTAGTCTCTGGAAGAAGGAAATAGTACTCGTCTCTTGACGGGATTTCTCTGTCTCTAGGCCCAGTGAAGGATGCAGAAGGGCCATTGCCAAACTGCAAATTTTTATGTATTCAAATTTGAGGCCTTCACTCTGCATGGACTATCTTTTCATACCTTTAATTGACTCAATGTTGTCAATTTTTTCCACATTTTCTTGTAGCCGCTATGTATAATGAAGAGGAAACTTCAGGTGGGGAAATAATTTGGCGCTTCCTTGAAAAATAATATAAAAAAAGAAGAAAACTTATCAACGTGACATCTTAAATTTTTTGAGAGATCCTAGCATTTTCTCTGTTTTGGGGGTACAGTATTTTTGTGTGAGTTTGTTGATCATATTATTTAAGTCCGAGGGTCCTTTTTCTCAAATAACCTCACATGACGCAATGATGATTACTCAAGTAATTTTTCCTTCCTTTCTCAAGTTTCTGATCAGGGGCTACATTTTATATGTGTTTTTTTTTTTTTCTTTTTCCACACTCGCTCTCTCCCTCTCTTTCTTTCAGCATTTCTAAATTTCAAGCTTGAGGATTATAATTATCTTTTTCTTTGTACAATTTCCAGATGCAGTCAGAGTAGGTCACAACGTTTTGGATAAAGAGATAGATGGCCCATTTAAAAGATGGTTGGTTAAAGCTAAGGAGCGATTGGATGCGAGGTGAGATTTCATCCTTTTAGATTGCCTTGTAAGACTTTTAACGCAATATTTTTTCTGTTTTTTAAGGATATTAGACTGGAATTCTTAGGTTTCCCCTTGTTTTTGAATACTAATAGAGCTACCTCCAGCAAAAAAATTCAGTCAGCATGCCATTTTTAACGTTTTAAGGAGCTGCATGAAATATCTTTGAGCAGGAAGTACCTCGATCAGCCAGCGCGGGGTCTTTGAAAGTAATAGTATTCAGTGGTACAGAAATCTTAACGTCTGCCATCTGTAAGACATCAACTACCTGCATGTCAGAGGGGTTGCACTTACAAGGTTTTGATTTTTGAGTAGAGCTATTACAATTCAACGTCATCCAAAGTGACATTTATGTAAACTATTTTATTTATTTTTTATTTTATTTTTTAATATCAATTTTCATGTTTTTTAAATTAGAGTTTGAAATGATGCATGCTTCTTCCTGTTGTTGTAGGGGTGAAAGTGAAGACATTGTTGATAACCAAGATGAAGTAGAAGGTGAATGTGAATTTGAGAGACGTGAAAATGAAAGTCGAGATGTATTTGAAACCAGTGATAATGAAAACGAAGATGGTGGAGAGGAAAATCCTGAAACCAGTGATAATGAAAACCAAGATGGTGGAGAGGAAAATCCGGATGATTTTTTGAATGATTGTTGTAACGAGAATGGAAATGAAAGTCAGGATGACTTTTTGACATATCGCCGCAATGAACATGGAAATCAGGAAGACTTTTTGAATCATCGTCGTATTGAGGACGAGCATCATAGTCAGGATGACTTTTTTAACTATCCGTGTCACGATGGAAGGCTGTCTGAAAAAAGTGATAAAGAAGATGATGATTCTGATGATGAAACTTATTTCTCTGGGTAACTCTTCACTGTGAATGCATTCAATTTTTCCCACAAGTATTAATTTCTAATATTCCCTCAATACTTTATTATATTTTTTGAATTTGGTTTTGTTCTTGTTTTATTCTTGTTTCATTCACTCCCCTTAATTTTCAAGTTAATTCAATCTGAGGCATAAATCGATGGTGAGATTCCTAAAACCCGCAAAGTCTTGTCATATTCTCATTTCTATAAGAAAAACTAATGGATATCATTTTTAAATAGTTTGGCCAATTCTTTAACATTATAAGGTCCATGTTTTCTGAACTATTCTATCAAAGAAACCAATTAGGTTCTCTTTATGAAACAGAAAAAACAGTGGCATTTTTGAAACTCAATAGAGATGAATGTTCATAGATTTTCAGTATCAAAATGATGCCAGTAATGTTCAAACAAAGTGATGGGAGCAGTGATAATACATACAAGTTATTTCTACAACTACTAAATATATTTTTTCACTTACTTATTGGAATTGCCAATTCGGTAGCATCTCTTTGTTTTTTCGTTCTACTTTTCTCCTCGGTACTTGGTTCCATTTGACATTTGTTCTATTGTACCTGTTAATTTTTTTCCTACCATGTTGTTAATTTCAATTTGTTACATTTATTTAAAAGGGACTATCTGCTCGTCGATTCAAATTCTAAACTTGTCATTTTAATTTTTGCAGTCAGTACAGTAGCTGCCCTTGTGCATCCTACAAAGTACAAGCTACTTAAAGTAAATATAACATTTCTAAAATCAATAGGCTTACAAAATTAAAGTTTAGGTCGCTGACACATTGAATCTGTCCATAACAACATATGTATCTTCAAGAGCTGCTATTGAGGTACGTCTTCGCAGCATTTCTTTAGTCATGCAGATAGACCTCCTGATAAATGGATGCAATTAAAGTGCAAATGTTAACATTAATATATTGCGATGTTACCTTTTTTGTGACTTGATAGTTAAAGATTTGTTCATATTATTATTATTATGAAGTTTATCAATTAATACTGTTCAGGGGCCATTCAAGTATTACATAATCCACTGGGGGG